AATTCCAGTGAAATATATTTATGTTTGTGGTTGTAATGTGACAAAATATGGAAAAGTTCAAGGGGTATGAATACTTTTGCAAACCACTGTAGTCATTGAGTGGTAATGATGGAGTCTCTCTGCTATTTTTTTAAATAGATAAATAACTTATTGATTATCCTTGCTTTGAATTATAACTGGATCAGACTGGGTTTTCATGTAAACTTTACTGTAGTGCTTTAGATTGTAGTTTTTCTACATTTATTGTTAATTGGTGCTGTAAATTGATTTGTGACTTTTTTATATTTGGGAAGTTTCAACAATCATACACAGTTGTAAAGGATTATTTTTCTTGTTTTTTTGTTAATTATTGACATGAATTCATGCCACTTCATCTTTAAATTTACTAGGAGTGTATTGTGTTTGCATTGAATTTAATTTTGCTTCAGCTGGAAGATAAACCTGCCTCTTAAAGCAGTTTACCTGGAGGAGGATTAAATGTCTGCAATATCTGTCTCAGGTGATTTGACTGAGAGCGTTCACACCCGGAGGTAAATTGCATATCCCCCAAATATTTTTGTTACCAGATGTGAATGAACCTGCCCTGTAATCATTTACACATGCAGCCATGTCACTCAGCTGTCACATCAACAGTGTGACAGGTAGTTTCTGTAAAGATTGCAATAAAATTAGACAATTTAATTATATTTGTGTTGAATTTAACAACAGGACTGTGTATAAAATATTGCTTCTCAGGTTGTTGTCCTGTGATTGACAGCACATTGTAACTCACAGTGACTCTAAAACAATTCAAACATCAAAGTTGACCCTACAGTATAGCTGTTTTGTAGGGTCTTCAGCTTGGGTAAATTCTGCAGTCATTCAATCTGTGCTTCTGATTACTTAAAACTTGTCTACATGTTTTGTGGCAACACACATTTCTGTGTGTGCCTGCAGGGTGGTTTGACTTTATACAGTTTCTTCATTGATATGACTGACCATTTCCTCTGTGGTGGTAAAAAAAATATCTGCTTGACAAACAAAACAGCATATCAAACTCCTTATTTAGCAAAATGCTTGAAAAGAGTTAATGTGACGAGCAGTAAGCAGAACTGTCAGAGGTGTTGAATGTAGTGAATTTTCTTCAAAGTCACTGAGATGGAACTTCTTTTCCCACTCGCATTCAAACAGGATGAAATACCCCACCGCGTCTCAATTGTTCTCAGGAATCCTCCGTGGAGTAGTTTCTTTCGTCATGTGCTACTTTTTCAGAAACGCTAATAAGACGTTCAGCATCTGTCTAATCTCCTGACCTGGTTGGGAGACACAACCTGGTTGTTCTGTGGCTCCTCCAGCTGAAGATCCATGCTGGTGTCTCAAGAATGTTTAAATTCCACTGTATCTTGCAGAAATGTGCCTCTGATATGACTTCATCAAGATTAACTGATCCAGTAAGGGCTCAGGTTAGTGATTTGTTCACAGTGAAACAAAGCAGGCAGCTCCAGCAATAATACAGTTTATTTGTTTTCAGACAGCTGCTCAAAACAAAAAAGAAAAAAAACATCTACGTTTAGCTTTGATACATCATTCAAATCTCAACTCAAAACCTATCTGTTCAAAAAAGCATACACACTTGAACCATAAATCTAACTACCAGTATTCTCATAGTTTGCACTATTTTATTTTGTTTTGTTAACTGATTTATTGCTTTTATTGTTTTATTGTGGTTTTTATTATTGACTTTTGTAAGGTGACCTTGAGAGTTTTGAAAGGCGCCTATAAATAAAATTTGTTGTTGTTGTTATTATTCCATTACCCAAAATCTCTAACCCATCCAGGCTCAATGACTACCGCCRAGTAGCTCTCACCCCCGTCATCACAAAATGCTTTGAGCGGCTTGTCCTAGCACACCTCAAAGCTTTTCTCCCCCCGACCCTGGACCCCCACCAGTTTGCGTATCATCAGAACAGGAGCACAAAGAATGCAGTCTCCATAGCACTGCACTCCATCCTCTCACAAAAACACCTTCACCAGAATGCTTTTCATAGACTTCAGCTCAGCATTCAACACAGTCATCCCCTCAAAGCTCATTACAAAACTCACAGACCTAGGCATCAGTTCCCTCATGTGTAACTGGTTAATGGACTTCCTGACCAGCTGGCCCCAACATGTACGGCTGGATAACTGTTCATCTGCCATAACCATTAACACCGGTGTTCCACAAAGCTGTGTGTTGAGTCCCTTCCTCTACTCCCTCTTCACCTATGACTGTAGACCTGTCAACGTCTCAAATGTAATTAAGTTTGCAGATGACACCACGGTGATCGGCCTCATCAAAGACAACAACGAGGCTGCTTACAGGGAGGAGGTGGACCTTCTTGCTGAGTGGTGCAGTACCAACAACCACCGACTCAACACTGAGAAGACCAAGGAGCTCATCGTGGACTTCAGGAAGAGTGCTGATCCACACCCACCCATCTACAGTACATCAAAGGGACAGCTGTGGAGCATGTGAATAGCTTCAAGTTCCTGGGAGTTCACATATCCGAGGATCTCTTCTGGACGACCAGCTGCTCCAAGCTTGCCAAGAAGGCTCACCAAAGCCTCTTCTTCCTGAGGAAGAACCACCTTTTACAAGACATCCTGGTGAATTTCTACTGCTGTACCATAGTAAGCATCCTGACCACCTGCATCTCAGGCTGGCATGGGAACTGCTCTGCTTCCGACCGGAAGGCGTTGCAAAGGGTGGTGAAAACCGCCCAGCGCATCACAGGAGCACCACTCCCTGCCATAGAGGACATCTATGGGAAGCYATGTCTCAATCGGGCCAGGAAAATTTATCAAAGACTCCAGTCACCCAGCATAGACTTTTCACCCTCCAGCCCTCTGGGAGGCGCTACAGGAGCCTCTGCACTAGAACTACCAGGTACCGGAACAGCTTTTTCCCAACAGCTGTGAGACTCTTGAACTCTGCCTCCTGACACTCATCAGTAATCATGGACTGAACACATACATACAATACCCGCAACCACCCATAACCTGTGCATATGTATTATATGTATATTACTGCCTACTGCTTGTACATCTACCACAGTCATAGTTTGTATATACTGTATATCATGTGTACACTTGTACATACATTTGTATATTCTGTTCACAACCTGTCATATTTGTACATCTGTATGATATTTTAGACCACCATATATATATATA